CGGCAAAGCCTGGGCCTGCCTGAGGGGGGGCTGGGGGCACTCGCCGGCCGGGGATCGAGCTGTGAGGCAGTAATGTCATTTTTTTTCTTATTTTTTTTTTCTTTTTTTCTTTTTCCTCCTCTGGTGTTGTAGGGCAGGATGACTTCGCTTGAAAGGGAGACACTGTCCCAAGATGAACTCCGGAAAAGGCTCTATCAGACTTTTAAGAACCGGGGTGTGCTGGACACACTTAAGGTGTGCTTTATTTTCAGCAGGTGCTACTTAACATTGTTAACTGTACTACTTAACATTGAAAACAGTGAAAGTCATGCCAAATAACTCTGTTTCCCACTCTCCCCAGCTGTATTATTTTTGCCACAGCCTAATCTGTATTCAGCGGTTTTTTGGCCAGATGTAAGGTTCTTCCTAAACAGAAATGCTTTTCATTGTGGGTTAGTCTCAGAGCCTTTCTCGGGAAGGTTAAAGGCCTATATCAGGTCTTTGAAAATCTCCGTGCTTGAGAAAAGAGTCAAGCAGGGAAGAGAAGAATAAATGAGAATACAGGATTGGAAAGAATCTCTTAGGTTACAGTCTATTACCTACTATAAGTAAGCAAGCTTTATGAATTATCCCCCTAAAATATTTCAGTTATGTTTTAAAACTATCATCTGAACTGTTTTCTCCTTGTCTGCTCATGGAGGAGAATGTTTTAGAATGTGGTTGTGTTCAAGAGTGAAACTTTGTTCTGATTTGTAGCCTGGGTTTATTTGTGCGTGCTATGGCCTTTTTTCTTGTGTTGAAAGTATCTTTCAGTTTAGGTAGGTTTTGCTCCTCTTGATGAATTTATAGGCAGCAGTCATACCTTTTCTTCAGCATTCTGTTCTACAGTGGTAAGCAGGCGAAGGTGGAGTAGTCTAATTGCTCGTTACCCTAGTAGTCCTCTGCATCACTTTGAAGTCTTTCTTCACTTTTTTAAAGGAAGTAGATCATGATTGTTGAGAACTTCCCAGACAAATTTTAGAATGGTATTAATTCTTCCCTGTTTTTGTGGGAAAGTCTGTGGAAGGCTGCATGTCTCTTTTTGAGGCATGTTACATTTGTAGCCCTAGTAATTGTTTGACACATCCACATCTTGCTTTTTCCAAACAATATATCCCTTGTGTTGTAGCAGAAATTGGCATTAGGCCTTAAATGCTGAAATGTAACATTTCATGCAGTTTCAGTTTTGCTAGTCTTTAAACATCATCTGATTGCATTTTTTTTATGACGTCTTGATCTTTCTACGCTTCTATAGACTTCTTTATGTCACCAGCAAATTTCTTTAGCTCTTGCTTTTTATGTCAAATTCATCAAAGTTAAAAAATAATTAAAAAATCAAGATCTGTATTTTAAGAATACCATTGATAATCTTATGGCCAAGAATTCCCTGTTCAGGACAACTTGTTTCTTCCTGAGTGATTTCCATACCAAGCTTGCAATGTTTGAACTGTTTCTTGTCTTCTTTGACTTAACCAATAGTCTGTGAGGTGGCATGCTATTTAAGTCTGTATCCCTGCTTCATCTTCCTTGTCTAGAAGATTATACATCATATTAAAGATTTAGTAGCTTTTCTGAACTGAAGGATTAACACAGTTGCATTTTTTACGGATTTCTTATGGATTCTTACGGATTGCATCTTCTAATGAGAAAACTCTCAACTTTCTCATGGTCTTATTTGATTGCATCTGCTGGTAAGAGGCAGAGTGGATCTGGAGCTACAGGTATGGCCAACATACAACAACCAATTTCTGCCTTCCTTTCCCATAGTAGGGACAGGGATTTAGCACTGTGTTTTCCACCTGTACTTTGTCACCAAATGTATAGGAGGTTGCTTAGACTAGTGAGTCTTCCAAGTACACCTGAAATTGAGCCCGCATCAGGTGGGCTTTATTTTAGCCAGAGAGAAGGAGAATAGGAAAGCAGTGATCTAAAAATGAAGCTGGGGGTAGTAGAGTGGAGTTCATGTGAGTTCTTGACTGAGAACAATATTTCTTTTCAGTCTGTTTGATACATCCTGAGGGAAAGTCAAAGATCACTGTAGCCACCATTAGACTGTTTTGAAGAAAAGCATGGTGTCCCAAGCACTTTTCTAAATTTTGCCAAAGTTTGTCTGCCCATTTCTGTTACGTTGGTTGTGGTATAACATGTACAAGTAAAATAAGACCCCCCCTGAATTTTGAAAAATAAAAACTCTTATTGAATAACATGTAAACTGTGAATATGTCTTTTCTGTATCAGACACAGCTCCGAAACCAGCTAATCCATGAACTAATGCACCCAATTTTAAGTGGAGAACTTCAGCCACAGGCTGTTCCGAGTGATGACAGTTCACTTTTGATCACAGCTTCCAACAGTTTGGTGGCAGATCATCTACAGAGATGTGGCTATGAGTATTCACTTTCTGTTTTCTTTCCAGAAAGTGGATTAGAGAAGAAGAAGGTAAGTTCAGTAATTTACCTCTTCTAAGGCTTCTAGGAGCTTTGCTTTCTGGGGGTTGTCATATTCCAACAGAATTGAAAAAAAAGCCCCTTTTGTGACAGTGAAATACAAACACAAGTACAGCTTCTGATCATCTCCATAAAAGATTTTGTTATTTAGGGCCATTTTCATAAATACTTCAAATTGGCAATAAGCCAATGATGCTTTTCTGGAAAGACATAGTGCAAACCTCTTAACGTCGCACTTGCTTCACCTATAGCTGCAGTCTGGCATGACTGTTTGTGAGACTGTGTGGCAGAGGACTTGTGGAACTGATCCCAATTAAAGCTAGCTTCTTTGGCTGTTCAGTTCCCTGAAAATGGGATTCATGGTCGGTTTAAGCTCTTCAAACTACAAGCTATGGCTGAAAAAGGCAGTACTTGCCCTCTTTGTTTCTCCTCTATGAGTATGTGATAGGATGAAGTTGTTTCTAACTGAAAATTATTTTTTTTACCTGGTGAGTAGTTAGTTGTCATTTGGGTTAGTAAGCTCATCTGATTTGTATGATAAAACAAGAAGAGAGGCAAGGAAAGTAGCAAGAACATGTATGCGGGATGGGGAGGAAACAAAACTCTCTTTTCACAGCTTCAGTTGATCATGAAACTACGTGCTGGCTGTTCTGTGTCTTTGGTAGTGGAGATAAGTGCATGTAGTACAAGAACAGCAGGCCTTTGAAAATGGTTTTACAAGGTGCTAAATAGATCTTTCTCAAGTGGAAAACATTCTACAACTGTAAAATAGTGCCTGTTACATACTTGAAGTGATTAGTTAACCTTTTCAAACTTACCTTTTTTTTTTTTCCCCCTCAAAGTTGTGGACTATGCAAGATCTTCTTCAATTAATGAGGATCAATCCAAAATCCAGTCTTTACAAATCACTGGTAAAGTTATTTTGATTTTGAAAATAAGCTTAAATTACAGTTGTAATGAAATAGACTGGCTAAACCATCTTTTGTTTCTTGCAGACTTCGGGAAATCAGAAGGAGAATAAAGGTACAAGATGTTTTTACATGGTGCAGACAAGGATAATTGTGTCAGCTTCATTTTTATTAAGATGCGAGCAATAGAAATTCAAATTTCCTGAGTGTGTGTTGGTATGGAATACTATGGATTCAGTCAGATTTTGAAACTTGCAGTACGCCAGGATGATGAATATTATATTTCAGGATTATCCAACTCCTATTTGTGGTGTGGATTAAGTGTTAACATTCACCTACAAAATAAATTACTTGAATATTAGAACTATGAAAAACATCTGTAATCAGGTATTAAATATAATGCTCTTTGGAAGCTTTTCACACTAACTTTGGCAAACTCAGATTTTTGTTTGTGTTCATAACTGACTGTATTAGCTTGCATAATGTACTTCCAAAACTAGTTAAAGATTTAATTGACTTTCTATTCTTTTATATAAGAAATAACTCTT